GTATTTGCCAAATAAAGGAAAGGAGAACAACCTATAAGGATATTACCCTGAAAATTAATATTGAATTTTTGTTTTTTTATATAGGTCATGCAAGTTGTACAAAACGTATACTCATCGTCGGTCTGAAGCTCTTCTAGAACTAATTTTTCAAGATAATCTTCACTACATCCTGTATTTATGAGAATTTCTTTTGTTGTTCTTCTAATTTGAGTTTTAAATAGCAATTTATCACAACTATAGCATCGATAAGTCGGACCTTCAAGTATATTTGCTTCATAGTTTTGCAAAGCTGTTTCCCATGAAATGGTTTGTCCTCTTCTTTGACGACGCTGTCTATTATCCCGAATTCTTTCTTGTTCGTGATATTCGTGGTTGGTACGGCGACTGGTACGACTAGTTTGGTCACGACGTTGCTCTTCTGCTCTGTATTCTGGAGAATTTCTTCGATTGGTACGACTAGTTTGATCGCGACTTAGTTCATTTGCTCTGTACTGTGGAGAGCTTCTACGATTGGTACGACTAGTTTGGTCACGACGTTGTTCTTCTGCTCTGTATTCTGGAGAATTTCTTCGATTGGTACGACTAGTTTGATCGCGACTTAGTTCATTTGCTCTGTACTGTGGAGAGCTTCTACGATTGGTACGACTAGTTTGGTCACGACGTTGCTCTTCTGCTCTGTATTCTGGAGAATTTCTTCGATTGGTACGACTAGTTTGATCGCGACTTAGTTCATTTGCTCTGTACTGTGGAGAGCTTCTACGATTGGTACGACTAGTTTGGTCACGACGTTGCTCTTCTGCTCTGTATTCTGGAGAATTTCTTCGATTGGTACGACTTGTTTGATCGCGACTTAATTCATTTGATCTGTACTGTGGAGAGCTTCTACGACTGGTACGACTCACATTGTCACGAATTAATTCATTATTTCTATTATCTGGATTATTACGATATTCTTCTCTTTGTCTTTGTCGTTTTGCTTTCTCTGTTTTTCCAGTAAGTGTTGGTTTTCTTCTTTTAGACATAATTACACTGGATAGAAATTTAATTTAATTTAGATTTAAAGTATCATTTTAGATGAATTTGAATTTCTACTTACTTTTTAATTAAAATGAAGGACAAGTTAAATACATTTAGATGACTGTTTTTATTAATATATTATTTAAAAACTATTTATTATACTTTAATTCACACACATTTAAAAAGTATTATGGTCAAAAAGTTTGGTTAAATTTTTTCCTTTCTCTATAAATAGTATCGTATCCTTAGTCAATCATGCACCTCATTTCTAGTTTTTTTACACTTTAATTTACTTCAACAAACTATCGTATTAACATTTTAATTTGCACAAAAATATTTAAATCTAACTTTTTTATATTAAGACAAATGACATTCGAACACGACAAAACATTTTCAAAAATTTTTATTATTTTTTCATCAAAATATAGGCAAATTACAAGTCGCAATATTAAAATGGTTTTAAACGCTAGATATTTACATTTATCATTTTAAAGCAATCTGTTTATAACAAAATAAATCTGGATACAATAAGAATTTTTTTGTTAAACGTTTTTTGCCATTCAAAATTTTAACGGCTTTTTTGAAATTTGAAATTGTCCTATCAAACTCGTATGTTATGCAAAAGTCGGCTAAGCCGCTGCAAAAAATATATAAAAGTTAATTTAATTAAGTTTTGGTACGAAGTTATGAAACATAAAGCGGATTCGGTTTGCCTACAATATGGCAACGATTGAATGCAAAAAACCCGAAGGCTCTATGTGCTTTCATTGCTGAGATCTCACGGTACCTGCCTGCCAGCCTGCCAGCCAGCCAGCCAGCCAAAGTGAAGATAAAAGCGTATTGTTCCTTAGGAAAATACGCTAAAAATCATCGAAGCCCTCACACCCTTCCAGGAATCGCTAGAGTAATAAAAACTGCCAGACTATAGAATCCACCATCGGATTAAGTAAAAAAACTTTCGAAAGCAACTTCAACAAAGCCAAATTTCCCCTATTAATAGCTCAACAAACTGTCTAGCCTTGAAGCAAAGCCGGTATTATCCAACAAATTTATTAATCTATTAAAATTACCGGCAACAATTTTTTGGAACTAAAACAATTATTATTCACCTGAATCACACGTTTTAGATTCAAAATTCCAAATGCCCGATTATTTGATCTCGTTTTGATTCAAACTTTCACTGATTTTTCAACTTTTTTTCCCACGTCAGAAGTAGTTCACTGTAGAATGCTTAATCTCACTCAATTACGAGCTAATACATTTATTTATGGATTGTTTGAAAGCTTCACCAGATGCTTAGCTTTTTGAAAGTTCTAAGTCTATAAAGTTACGTAATTGAGTTTTGATAAAAATTGCAATGAAATGTTTCGTGTCCATCAGTTAAATCTGTGATAAAAATCAAACTAGAACATTAAAATTCGAGAACCATGATTTTAAATTCAAATTACCACATCAGATGTGGAAAAATTTCATTAACATTAAAATTATGTGCTTCACAATATTTTACATGATTGAGCAATTAATCAGAACAATTAGCTTCATTATTTTCTCGGTGGGAAATCATTCTGCATCATCATTAATATACAGTTGAATGAATTTCGACATTGAACTTGAAATTTATGGAAATGATTGGGTTTAATTTTTATTTGGGATATGCCTGAGCTGCACATCATTCAAGTGGCTGTTGTTAAGCTTCCTTGATTTGTGAGCAACACATACTGACTTAAGTAACTGAAGAAGACTTGCACACAGCGGCAATAACTGTCACACGGCTGCCCAAAATGCCCTTATGTGTGACTCGGGATGAATCTTTTGCCGGAAATTCTAGAAAATTGCAACATTTATCAGTGAAACAACCGCGTTCCTTGAAACGATAGCAAATAATTAACAATCGTAAATCTCTGAGCTTATCATTTCACCTTAACTACATATTTTACTTTTCATAATTCTCTTTGTTTAAGTGACATGTGTCTATAGACATATTTCTCGCATTATGAGTAATGCAAATCGCATTGAGTCATGCAATGTTAGAGATTCAATTTGACAATGCACATTTTTATTTTTATTCAACAGGTGGCGATGATGATGATGACTGACGATGATTGAGGAAGTTAAAGTGCAATTTTTTCAGTTTCACATTTTCTGTGAATTTTTTTTTGTAAATTGAGAAAAGAGAAATGTATTTTTGTGAATATTCTCACTTATTTTTTGAGTGTCTTTTGTAGTTTAAGTGCTGTGCTGTAGGGGGACATGAGTTCATGGAAAATTGCTAGCTTTAAAATTTTTAAACATTTTAAAATTCAAGTTTTCTTTCAAAAATGTAAAAAATAAAAGTTTTTCAAAATTTTAAAGTTGAGCATCGAGAATGTAGCCCCCTGAGTCGTGTACAGCACTAATTCAATTTTAATTCTGCAATAATTTTTGTATTTAAAACCTTGGACTTCAAAATGTTTGTTTGCGGCTGATTGCAAAATTATATTTTTACTAATTTGATGTATTTTTGAGTGACGGAAGCTAGCTTTATAGTTCGTAATTTAAATGCTGTCTTATATGGCTGGTGGAGCTGATTCAAAAAACCGGCTCCAGGAATGAACTCTAAACAAGCTGAAAAAATCAAATTACAGTATCAAAAGCCTCTCAAACCGCCCACAAAAATTTTAAATTCACCCAAACAATTGCCTCCTTAATAATATGAAATTTTCCACAAAATAACTCATACCCAATAATTTAATAAACACCTTTAATTAGGTTTTGTTTATCACAATCAGCTGACTACCGTCGGAAAATAATATATTCAAAAATAAACAGTTAATTTTAGTTCCAACAAATTGCAAGTAACAATGAAAATTTAAATTTTTATTTTCGCACGTGAATCGGTTGAGTGTCAGATTTTAAATCGAACAGACGAGAGAGAGTCTTCCTACAGAGTGGAGATTGAGAGGCTGAGAGATGCACAAAGTTGAGTTTTATTTTTGAAAATTGCAATTTTTTTGAAGCTATTTGTAGTAAACAATTTTTGATGATGGTTTTTAACTTTTGGAGATATTAGATTTGAACTTTTAAAGAATTGTAAATTGAGATTTATCTCTAAATGATAAATTTCATCAAAATGCGGTCTGTTAAAAATAAAATTCGCCAACAGAGGCGTCAAAAATATTCTGACTGCGTCGTGAGACGTCACAAACTTATTATTTAAAGATGGAGCATTTTCTGTGTAGATTAGGTAAGAAAAAAAAGGTCTAGAGAAGACAATGACGGATAACAAGTAAAAATAAGCCAGCATCTAGATTTTTTTTTCACTTGGACTTATGTCGCAGTAATAAAATTTATTTAAAATTGCCAATAATTGTTGATATGTTTATTGATGCAAAACATCAAAGTGATTAAAAATCTGGTTACTGTAGTCAGGGGTCCATTGTCCCTCATACTTAATTGATGGGAAAATTCTCTCAATTTGCTAGAGGATTTTATATAAAAAATCAAAACCCTTGATTAAGTTTGTGAACCCCCCCCCCCCCCCCATCTTCAAGTTTCTGACTATGCATCTGAGTCTGAATATTTTTTGGATAAATCAGTTTAATCGGAATCATTCCGCTTATTTCCAATGTCAAACATTGTCAAAATTGATTTCGGACTTTAAAAGATTTTTTTCTTGATAAAATTTCAATTTATAATCTAAGAAAAATTGCAAAAAATTTAATCTCAACCCGAATTTTCATTAAAATTTCCTCATTCTTTAATCATCAAGTTAGCAACAGCGACAAGTAAGACAAGCACAATGAATTCTAACATTTTTCTAATTTTACAACATTTTTGGCGATACAAATAATTTTTGATAGGATGCCAACTTGTGTTTTTTTTGTCGATAGAGTCTCAGCAAGATGAAATCAATTTTACCTTGAAATTATTTCAATTCTCAAATCATTTTCCGCAATGAATGTTAATTCTTAATGTTCTATAGAATCAATATTTTAAAATCTCACCTTTAAGCTTTATTGATGATCTTATAGATCAATATTATGATAACACAATTTTTACAGCACTAAAAATTCCTTCTTCCGATTTTTTTATTCACTTCCTCAACTGAAATTGCCGCTCCTATATGCAGTTGAATGACAGAAGATGAAATAGAAGAGTCACTTGCGTCCGTTTCAGACACTTAAACACAAATGGCAAAGAATCGAGGAAGAAGAAGTCTCACTCTCACTGACTTAATAATTTTTTTAAAATATATTTCAATTTTTTTTTCTTTTATTTTTCTTTTTCTCTTCTCCACCCCGAAACGATGTGTCTACGGCGAATTTTCAACTTAAAATGTTTCAATTTTAGAATGTTACTTATATAGAAAAAGGTACGCTTTTTTGTCTATCAGCTCAGCCGTGCGAGATACATTTGTGTGTTTACATCGTCATAATAATATAATTACGGGGCTTATTTGTCGCGTCACAATTAAAATACACAGCAGTTAAGGAATAAAATAATAAATGAAAGCACACACCCTGGAAGCTTATTTACCTCCTTTTAAGATTTACTGATCTATTTTGTCGTGTGACGTACCAAGAGTTATTATGACTTCAAAATCAGACCACTTAAAATTGACACAAACTCGACTGACTCTGAATTTTTGCTATTTTGTGGCTTAACAGACACGATTCTCGCTTAAAACTAAAATTTGTATCTAATTATCATGTTTACGGCTTTTCAATACAGCGAGTCAGACAGCGAGAAAAATGAAAAATTGAGCGGGAAAAAAGAGAAAAAAAAGCTGCTCAATTTTGCCTTCTGTAATGCTTAAGGAAAGCGAAACTGTTGAATAGTAATCGATAAAAGATGTAGATGGGAAATTTAGCGCATTTAATAAATATCAATAGATAATAATACATAAAAAAATGAGTAAGTATGTAAGATTATAAGTATTGAAAGAGAGTCGATGATAATAAGTTCAGAGAGAAGATTGAGCAGTGATTTCTCTGAATGGGAATGAACTTACTTATAGACCTTACTGCAAAAATGTTATTGAGAATCAAATGATTTTGTTTTTAACTGTTTTGACAAATTTTCAGTTAATTTGTTGATAATGGGAATTTTTTTGTCGCTGGTGATGATTATTTGAATGATATTAAAGCATATCCATCAAAATATTGTAATTTTAAATCAAATCAGAAGCAATTGTCTGGCCTACCCAATATAGCGCAATATTAATTCAGAACCAGAAATTGCCAGAAATCCTTTAAGCGTTTGTTCCAGAGTTGCGAAACAGGTCACCTGTGACAGGTGAGAACCTTTCGATTCCTTGATAATTTGTATGGTTTTGTTAGAAAAACCTTATAAATTATCAAGGAATTGTAGGGTTCTCACCTGTCACAGGTGCCTGTTTCGCAGCTCTGGTTTGTTCGAATCCTTTTCATCAAATATAATAAGATTTATTTAAGTTAACCATATTCAGTTCGCTAACGCAGCTGTAAATCTATTATTATTGGATCCAAAGGAAAAGTCATCTCATAAAGCACTGATAACAGTTATTGGATCTTTGGATCTGAATAGTTTCAACTCATCAAAGATCAAAGTAAAGATCCATTCATGATCTTGAACGTTAAAAAAATTCATTGAACTAAAAGGTTTGACCAAAAACAAACATACTCAATCCTTAGCAACAATATTTTGGCTAAGTACCAAAATTGTAAATAGAAACCGTCGTAATTATGTTAAAAGCAGCTGTGCAAAAAAAAATTTCGCGTCGTCCAGGTTAAAAAAAATCGAAAATTAGAACGATGACTTATTGTGTTTTGAGTGATGACGGTGATAAATCTGGTGCTCAACTGTAAATTAATTAGAGTTCATGAAAAGACTGTTCTGGGCTGTGATATCATCAAGGTTTTGGTAGGCAAGAGATCGAGAACAATGAACAATTCTGAACTTACTCTAGCTTAAATGAAAGCCAGCATCAAAATTCAGTTTATTTATATCAAATATTTTAATTCCATATTAAGCATGCTTCATTAATGTGATAATTTAAATGCCACAAAAAATAAATAGAACAAATCAGCATCTCTCAGCTATAGAAAAACCCCAATAATTACAACTGGAAATCACGTGAATTTTATTATATTTCAACTTTTCATTTTGTTTCAAATACATCAGTAAATTTTTTTACAGAAACAAAGATCCATAGCTAGTTTGTGCAGTAGATATTAAATGACTGTGGGTATCCCCAATAAATTTGTAATAACCGGAAATACCACCAACAACGATGTCACTTTATTATTTATTAGCAATAAGCTGTAAAATTGCAAATAATGTCAATAATTTCCACAATTTCATAAGTTCTTGACTCTTTCATTTAGCACATTCCCAATCGATGTTTACATTTCACAATGATTCAGATTTGAAAAAAATGTTCAAATAACTCTTGTGCATAATATTTTTCAGACACAATGAAGGAATGAAATTTTTTGTTGATATTCTCTAGTTCAGGACTTTTAATGCCGTTAATCTTACTTGATTATTGATTCCTCAAAATATTAAGTCATGAAATTGAGGATAAATAAGTTTTTTTTACAAATTTTACGAATGTTTATCAAAAAATTTGGCGCACGATAGTAATTTGTATGAAAAATTTACTGATTTTCAATCGCAAATATCTCGCTTCGGGCATATTTGGGCATGTACACATTAATATGGAAGGTTAATTGGACTCTATTCTTTGGATTTTAATAGGTTTGGTAGAAGCGGAGAGACGCGAATTCAACTTATGAGTGTTTAAAGTCTTGGTGAATTTCAAAAAAATTAATCATGAATATTCGCCCAATTAATAGGTTTTCCTTTGGTTTCTTCACACAAACACAAAGTACTAAGCTTAATTTAGCTAGTTATCAGCATTAAAACAAGAAATTAGAAGTAGAAAGGAGAAAAAAATTAAGAAAAATATTTGTTGTCATTTTGTAAACAAATTTATTGTCATCTTAGAATCGAATTTTTGTAAGTTAGACAACATACTGGAATGAGATATTTTTACAGAATATAAAACAAATCATGTTCTTTAATCTAGCATTTAAAACATATAGTTTAATTAACTTGATATTTTTGAATTTTTGAACATTTTTTTCAAATCTGAATCATTGTGCATTTTCAGTTAAGAGAATCTTCAATGCTCAATGTGCCTTAAATAATCATGTGCAAATTAGTCTCTGTTTAAATGTTACTTAACACACAATGAGAATGACAAATTTCATAAGAGAAATGGTAATTTTTGTGGATTTTCGGTAAGAGTGATTAGGTGCTAATGGCTTTTTTTTTTTTTTTTTTTTTTTTTTTCGCGTACTGAATTTAAAAAAAAATCGGGAAGTTTAAGTTTATTAAAGCCAATCTAAATATGAATATTTAACAGTTGAAGTAATAATAATTATAATAACAATGAATGTAATATAGATGGCACTGCAATTGCAGTTGGTGTAATCAAATGACAATTAACTGAATATAAATTAATTATGTAATAGTAAAAGTTGTATGATAAATCGATCAAAAATTAGCTTGACGATTGAATTAACGGTCGAAAAATATTTGAACTTTATAACGGACATTTTGAATTTAAATATTTTGTTGTTTTAAAATTAGTACTAAAAACAATAATATTTGTAAACAAGAGGAATTATCTAATTAAAACAGTGATAATTAAATCAGTGAATAGTGGATATAGGTGATTCCATCGGTAGATGTGTGGGCATTTACGAAATTCGATGCGTCTGGAGTTGGTCTGGAGATAGCAGAAGGTCAATTTTTTCCAATAGGTAACTCTTTACTGCAACTTTAAATTTATTTATTTATGCTTCTTTTTGTCCGACTGTCCAAATGGTATTGAACTGAACTTTGTTCATTTTGAATAAGGGGCCGTTCACTTATGATATGATGTCCAGGGGGGGAGGGGGGATCAGCAATCCAATATTCTTTTTTGAAGAATAACCGTTAATATCAGAAGTCTTAAGTGACTAGCTTGTCATATTTACGGTGAGGCTCAATCAAATTTTGGCCTAGAGTTTGCAAATTTTTACTTTACTCTTAGAGACTTTCATCGGTTTTGTTGATTCTGTTAAAAAATGCGCTCATAAACCACATAGCTCGAAAACTTCACTCCCAGTTTTAGTCATACTCATCAATTGTTGTCCGAAACTCTCACACAACACAAAACAAGTACGGCCTAGGAAATAGAAAACATTTTATTATATTTTTATATGCAAATAAGAGTATTAAATGTCACATGAGTGAAATGTTTTTCACAACTTTTTGTCTGTGCAAATTTCGCTGTGGCATTGCTCATTTAGGTTTATGAACTCTTGTTCATTCTATGATGTCATTTTTCAGGTGATCATTATTTTGAGTGTGATAAGCCAAATTTATTTTAAGCTACCGATAATTTACGATTTGATACATTCGGTGCGTGTGTGCTTAATACTTTGATAGGTTTATTGGAGATTTATTAATAGGCATTTTTGTTAATTAATATTAGCACCTTTTTGAAGGTTAATGATGGAACTTAAAAAGCCATCATCAAATGAATTGAAAAAATTTGGTGAATTTTTGAAATAGTTTTTAAGGCTGATAAGAAATATTTTAGAGCATTTTTGGATATTATGAAGCATGGATCGGGAATTATAACCTCAAAGTCAGGTTAGAAAGGAAGAAGCCACAAAAGTGAGGAGGTTTGTGGTCAACATTTTTCTGGCTACCATTTTACTTATTTTTAATAACTTGATAGTTCGATTCCTGGTCCATTAATCACAATTGATTCTAAACTAGTCCAATCTTTATGGCATCCAGTCTTGATAAAGCTATAATCCTTTTACTTACTTGCTTCGATAACCTTACAGATCAATTGTGATCCATGGCCTCCCTCAGATGCCGCCTAAAACTGGCTCTATCGCTGGCTACTGCTTGCCGATTTCCAATACCTAATGCAATACCTTTAAGATTAGCTGTGGAACTTATATAATCATCTAAAACTCCCCAGAATCCATTTGTGACCGACTTCAAGACATCATTTCACAATTTAATAGAACTAGCTTCATTAACCTCCAATCATTGAACTTCCAACTAGCTAAAGCTTCAAATTTATTAAATCATAGTCAATGAACTTTAAACATTTATTACTCCACCTCACTTATAGAATTGATTTATTGTCCCGCAAGGATGATTAGATCCTACACTTTAAAATCCAAATCAAAGTCATCCTCAGTGAATTGTCCATAAACCTTCAAGTACTAGTATCGAATGCCAATAAAAAAAAAGCTTTCGAAAATCACAGAATCATCGGGCTACCTGTAAAAAATTATTGGAATGATTTTTGGAGTGGCAATAAAAATGTTAAATT